CACACACACACACACACACACACACAAAACACACAAACACACACACACACACACACACACACACACACACACACACACACACACACACACACACACACTCACACTCATACTCCTACTCACACACATAGTCACAAAATCAACATGCATCACTGTCGGCACCATTCACGTTTATTTTCATTCACAAAATCAACATGCAACACATATCACATAGTGCAACTTTGAGCAATCACACAAAGGACTGTATGATGCAAGGACTCATGATCCGACAAGCACAACACAAATTGCATAAAAGAATATGACACAGTATATGAAGGGCAAGTACAAAGCTCAGGGGCAAACTGACTCATAAAGTGAAACATGAAGTGTCGCACCAATGAAGTAAGCCAACACCACAACTGCCTCGTCAAAAATCCTGCAGCGCGAGCTGCAAGCCTAGCAACGTATCCTCAAAAGTCCGCATAAAAAACGTTAAGTACTTGCAAACACGTGTAGAAAGACAGTCCTAATCTACAAACGAAAGAAACATAAAATGTGCTTGTGTCTGGCATCTATTTAAACAGACTAAGCACGCACAAGCATCTACTAAAAAACACTAACCGCCTACAAACATAAGAAGACGGCGTTGACAATAATAAAATGACAACTACAACGTGTGACAGAGTCTAACTCCTGCCCGTGCTCCTGCTTCCTCTACCGGCAGCGGTCTAACGGGTGGCCTACGGAGGTTGACCCTGTGTGAATAATGCAGCCTGTCTCCTCTCCCTCTCTCTCACACAGCCCGTATGATGGGCTCCAACTACGAGTCTGCGTCGTCGCCCTATGCTGTCAACTGCTCCATCTGGTCACACTCGGCACGCAACGCCTCCAACTACGCCTTCTCTCCCACGATCCGAGCCTCCAAGTCATTTATCGAGCTATGACGTCTTGACCCTCAAGGCATCACGAACCCCTCCTCCCCCAACATGTACGGCGCTACATGCGGACCACCATGATGACAGATGTCAAACACCAGAGATCTCGTCGTCTGACCTCTATCCAATCCGAGGATCTGTCTTGCGGTGTGGATGCTAGATCATCATCCGCCCTATGACTCGGTGCCAGCCACATCCATGGTGACTCTCCCCCGTATCATGCCCTCTCTCCTCACTGCCTGTGTCGAAGTCCCTCCTCGTACTATCGGTCACGCGTCTAACTTACGATCATGATAGTTGTCATGTCTGATAACGTGCAGATGGCTGCTACCTCGTCCGACTACCGGGTACATCGCCACCTGAACGTGTTGCTGCCAGCCTGTGGGCCACACGATAGTCGTCCTCTCTGATGACGCGAGGGGGTCTTTAGGATACTTTGCAGTGGTGGGTTTTGCGTATACAACCAAACTAACAAAGACACTCATACAGTGTCAGTCACACACACACACACACATACACACACACACACACACACACACACACACACACACACACACACACACACACACACACACACACACACACACACAAATACAAACACACTCACACTCGCACTCGCACATATAGTCACAAAATCAACATGCATCACTGTCAACACCATTCACGTTTATTTTAAATCACAAAATCAACATGCATCACATTTCACAGAGTGCAACTTTAAGCAACACACAAAGGACTGTATGACCGAAGGAAGCATGAACCGACAATCACAACTGTGACAACACAAATTGCATAAAAAAACATGACACATTATATGAAAGGCAAGTAAAAGCTCGGGGGCAAATTGACTCATAAACTGAAACATGAAGTGTCGCACCAATGAAGTAAAGTTAGTAAGCCAACACCACAATTACCTCATCAAAAATCCTGCAGCGCGAGTTGCAAGCCTAGCAACATAGCCTCAATAGTCCGTATAAGAAAGCTTAAGTACCTGCAAACATGTGTAGAAAGAAAGTAAGAACCTACAAATAAAAGAAACAAAGTGCTTGTAAACATATGTGTCCGACATTTGTGCAAACAGACTAAGCAAACACAAACATCTGCTAAAAAAGACTAATCGCCTACAAACATAAGAAGAAGACGATGACAATATTAATCAAATGATAAATACTAAGTCTGACAGAGTCTAACTCCTCCCCATGCTCCTCCTCCCTCTGCCTGCAGCGGTCTGACGGGTGGCCTACGCAGGTTTACCCTATGTCAATGTTGCAGCTCATCTCCTCTCCCACTCTCTCACACAGCCCGTGCGATGGGCTCCAACTACGTGTCCGCGTCGTTGCCCTATGTTGTCAACTGTTCCATTTGGTCACACTCCGCACATACCGCCTCCAACTGCGCCCCTCTGCCATGATCCGAGCCTCCAGGTCATTAATCGATCCACGACGTCTCGACCTTGAAGTCATCACCAACCCCTCCTTCCCGAACATGTACGGCGCTACATGTGGACCACCGTGACGACTGTTGCCAAGCACCTGAGATCTCCTCGTTTGACTTCTATCTAGTTTGAGGATCTGTCTTGCGGTGTCCATGCTAGGTCGTCCGCCCTATGACTCGGTGCCAGCCACATCCATGGTAGCTCTCCCCCGTATCATGCCTTCTCTCCTCCTTGACTGTGTCAAAGTCCCTCCTCATACAATCGGTTACTCGTCTAGCCTGCGATCACGATAGTTGTCCTCTCTGATGATGCGCGGATGTCGAAGAATGGCTGCCACCTCATCTGACTACCGGGTACATAACCGACCGAACGTGTTGCTGCCAGCCTCTGGGCCTCCTCTCTTGTGTGGTTATTGCTCTTTGAACTTGAAGACCCTGACCAATGAGGGTTCGCAGGTACCTTTGGTGGTGGCGAAGAGTGTTCGCCTATAGCGTCGAGGGTTACACCCTTGCGGAAGACATCCAGGGGGTCCTCCTCTAATAGTTGATCTAGCTGCTCCGCACACAACGGACCCGATGTCATCTCCCTCTCTTCCATAGAAAGCCTATGTTGTCCGTCGGACAACTGCACAGTCCCAATCCCATCCACCAACGTCTACTGCCATAGAGTCAGACGAGGCATCCACACTCCAAGCACGCCCTGCCATGTCCCGCCCACAAGGCGATTGAGGTCGTACCACCAATGCAAGGGACAACTTCTTCCTAGCATCATGTGTAGGGGAACGAGCCGCATCCTCGCTGCCTCTGCACCCCTCCACCGCAGTAGTTAACCCTCGCCACCTACCCGCATCGTGCTCATCATCACCCTCGTCCTGTGACACTCCTCTCGTCACATGTCGTGCACCTGTTGCACCAAGTCCGACAACAAAGCCCCCAACGATCTGTTCCCCTGTACTGCCCTCCACAAACTGCTCCCCGTACTGTGGGCTGCACTCCCCCACACAATGTCCCTCATCAGGCCCATTGAATCCTCCCTGTGCTCCGGAGCGAGCAGTAGTAGAGTCTCCCCCCATTTATGGGCCTCCGAAGTGATGCGACAACTCTTTCGCGCCTCCTACTTGTATATCCACAGCACCGGCTGAAAACATGTGAGTCCTCTAAAGTACTAGATTCAATGCACCTCCGACCATTCTTATTCTTCCCCTGTTTGGTTCCCGTCCCCTTTGATTGTGTGTTGCCACTACCTTTTTCGTCTACTGCGTTGCCTCCTCATTTTGCTGGCATCATTTTTGGGTGATCTTAGCTTCGAACTTCAACTTAAATTTTTTTGTCCTTCTGACAAAATCAAGATTCGGCTTGTAGTCTTTCTCATCTTCTTGTCGAAGTAATTCATTTTTTTTCTTTATCTCTCACTCTTTTTTTCTCTCCTTCATGCGTTATTTCTTATTTATAAGTTCACCGAGACGGAGTTGAGTCAATTCTCATATATGAATCATCCTTCGATCATAAATATCAAATAAGAGAGGTCTCTACTTCCCATTGCGCCTTTGGCTCCACTCTGGCGATAGATCATAGATCATACGTGAAGCGTCTGCTCGAGTATAAATGCGGGTATTGCCTCCAGCAAGCAGTTTCAGAGTTCGATTGCCCTCTTCGTCCGTTGGCCTTGAGTGTGCGACGAACTAACTCAAGTCCGTCAATTTAGGCTCCTTGCCGATTTGATTCATCCGGAATAGGTGTACTTACTCAAATAAAAATAGCTTTGTTGTTGACGAAAAAAATATCATAATTAATTACGACTGACGTAAATGGTTTTTTGGTGATCGCGCCTAACTGCGGCTTCCTGGAAGCGGGAATTATTTGTCAAACTAAATAAAGTGAAGCTTATGGAAACCAAATAATTATGTTTTTAAGAAATTATAGGTGTTGAATATAAAGCTAGTACTAATCCACAGAGCTTCATATTTCTCTTGAAATTAGGATTTAGTCATGATATGAAACTTCAAGACCGCCCCATTTTATCTCCCGCCGTAGTTCCCTCCATTGTAATTCCTCCCGTTGTTCCCTCCACTGTTTTTCCATTCTCATTATTCATATTACCACCATTCATGTTTCCTCCAACGTCGTACATCGTAATAATTCGTCGAACCTCACAAAACTATAGTTGCTATAAGAATTTGTCAAAGTATTTTTTTTTTCTCTTTATCTTTCGCTCCTCGTTTCTCTCCTTCATGAGTTTTTATACAAAACTATGTACCTCATCGTCTAGCATGTTAGATCTCCCCCACCTAAACCAACAATTACACGCTATGTAACCCATCTTTCCACACTCATAGCAAATTATCTCGTTCTATCTCCCGTCGTAGTTCCCTCCATTGTAATTTCCCTCATTGTTCTTTCCGCTGCTTTTTCATTCTCATTATTCATATTATCATCATTCATGTTTCCTTCAACGCCGTACATCGTAACAATTCATCGAACCTGGTAAATTCACAGTTGTTATTAAATTTTCTCAAATGTCACATACTCTATAACGATGCGCCGTAAAGCAACCACTAAATTTCTAAGTGGACGGAAAAACGACGATCGCAAGCTATGATTATTGTCGTCATAGCAGATACTATTTGTTAACGTTATCTTTGCGACACTTTCAAACACTACAACACGTACATATATTACAAATTATGTCACTAACTTTCATAATCGACAACAGATCAAAGAGCAAAAAATTATAATTGTCGTGCTATCTGACACTACATAATGGTGAAAGACTACAACGACATAGTCGCCATTAAGCTTCGAAACTCCTGCTACTATGCGCATAGGAGTGGCAGACAACAACAAAACAACCTCATAGGTAACTAGGAATGAAGTAGTACACCTAAAACAAGGTTGAAGCATAACAAATAGAAAAAAGTGAGGTAATTTAGATCATATACAAAATATAGACTCAAAGCGTCCAATCGTCATGCTAGATTCAGTTTCTCGCATACGCTCAACTCGCTACCCATCATAGTCAAGTCTTCCTAAAAAAAACAACAACATAGTGTTCTTCGACCGCTTTCATCTGTTTGTATGGAATCATCAGCGAGGTGTAACTGAATTAGTATTTTTGGTCGAAAAGAGAGACCTTCCGCCTTATTTCTCACCGTTATATGTTTGAAAGATTCATAGCACGTGATAATGTAGATACCCGTAACGACAACCTATGAAAGTCCTTGTACCAATCGTAGATTCATGTAGCTATGTCTCGTAAAAGGCCATGCTTGATTTTCCGTAACCAAAACTCAGGCTTATCTAAACACTAATCCACATAGCTACAAAATACGAACAATTACTGAACCAAAATCATGTGCACCTAAGAGGTATCCAAAGGCTCCCGAGACTATCATGATAATGAAAAAGCAGAACGATCAGTCCTCGAAATGGAATAAAAAGGAAGAAATATATAGATATATATATACAGTTCTCAAAATAGAACTTAATAAAATCATTTAAAGCAAAATTTCAAGTCAACATTGTACCCATTTGTAAGATCCTGAGACAGCCCACAGGAACACTACTAGCAACTTGTTGTCAGCCTTCCATATTATAAACCATGAGGTGTCTTGTCATGCTTTTCAAAACCTGCCTCCTATATTTCAATAAGGTTTGGAAATATACAGCCAAATCATGTACCAAATTGTCCCCCGTAACCTTGACAAACTTGTCCACGACACCGACAAGCTTCGACTATGTGTCACGTAGAGACAGAGAGGTAGCGGAAAGAGTCGTATGTCTTAGTCTCTCTGATTCCCACTCCAAACTTTACAAGACAAGTCACCGATAACTCTCTCATAGCGGAGATTCTTCGTGCACTCCTCCACCTTTCCACCTTGGAAAACGACGTCGTAAAGTATAGGAATGAACCCTCGAGGACTTTTTGAATTAAGGAGACATTGCTCCCACCACTTCGCCTTAGTCTTAGCTATAACCAGAACTGACAAAGAAGATTTTATTTTTGACTTGAAACTTCACCCTCGTCTTTTCCAAAAATCATTGGCACACCCCAATTACGTGCTTTTCGAACCTTTTTGTATTTTAGTCGAACTCCGTAAGGAAAGCAGCGTAGCGTGTAAGGTTGGTCTCGAAGCTGCCATGTGTTGGTTATTTTTTTATTAGGACGAACGAGCGAGTGGAACTGAACAATCGTTAAGAGTCTCTCGCTCGTCAAGGTGAAGTCCTTTTGTTACCCGTGGTCGTTAGCAGAGTCAAGAGAGTATGGCCCAAGTGGTCGATGGTATTCAAAACCAGTCAAATCAACCTAATATGGCACAATTGTTTCCAAGAACGATTTATTTCACTCCGTTTAACTTCACTTTTATCCCAACCAGTGTTTATTTCAGGCATGAATAAGCAACTTGAAGGCCCAGGGGTATCTAGAAGACAAGATGAAGCCGATGATCAAGACTTTGATGAGTAGGATAGCGGGAGGTTGGTTCAATTGATGTACGTATACGGATTGGCGAACGTTCAAACGGGATTTCCTCGAACGTTTTGATTATCTCAGTAAGAATGTTGCTTTCCGAGTGCTTACAACTCGTCGGTAGCAGCTCGACGAGTCGCTACCTAACTATTGTAATCGCTTCATAACTACAGGGGAAAAGCAAGGACGACCTGAGCCATCCATTGGTGATATGTTCATAGAGAACCTTAAAAACCGATCATTTAAAACGAAACTTTGAAAAAAAAATCTTCTTTCTGAAACAACTGTTACGAACATTATGAAACAAGCGATCACAATCTAAAAACGGAACGTGATAAGGTGTTTGGACATGGAGGATGATCGTAGAGTTGGGAGGATAAACGAGATTAAAGTGGGGAAATGATCATTGGTAGATGCGATTGATTGAATGGAAGGAATTTTGTCAACCCTTGCCCAAACCATCAAGCCGGTTGCGGCAACTCAGATTGAACAGAGACTGAATGGACTGGCGCCAAACAAAGATCCAACCAACATGGATCTGCCAAGTAACTGAAACTACTCAGCCTCACAAGTCAAGTGTTTCTCGGCTCTCTATGATATCTGACACTTTCGTGCATACTTTTATGGTAAAAGTTTGTTATCATCACATACTTGAAACTCCTTCTCACACTAAAGTAGTCGAAGGATTACTCAGGTATACTCGGACAGTGTGCGGCATTGCTTTAGAGTTTGGAATTTGGCATTCGTCATCGGAAAAATGAGAGGCACGATAATGCATATGTACTCACGTGATTGCATAACCCAGCAAAGGTGCACAAAGGGGAGGAGATAACTTCATGGAACGAGCCTGAGTTGCCAACAGAGTCGAGATACCGGTGACTTACGGATTATGAAAAAGGAATAGGGTAAGTGTGCTCAGATCGCCTCTGGTTACGCCAACCTCTCATAAGCTTATTCTAACCTCCCTATTTTGACCAAATTCTCCTCCCTCTCCTTGCTTTATGATTTGTTTGATCTCTTACGTTATTTCTACGCATTTATTTCACGGGTATATAGGGTTGATGCTCAACCTATAAAATCTCATTTTCTTGATTGGATGGGTTGTTCCGAGTGTGTCAAAAGTGCCCACAAGACATATATTCGTTATCGAACATTGAGAAAAACGTGGATTTGCATTTTTGTAGAAAAGATAAAATCCCCACTTAACAATGTTTTCTAGCAGCAAAGATTGACAACCCCGAGTAGAATAAGAGGTATACATGATCAGAATTTTGGACGGACAAAATCTTATTGTTGAAATTAGCAGAAAAATCTTGAAATTGATATACCAAGGATGACAGACGATGTGCTACAGAGAGGTCTCGAGATTACCACCGGAAAGATATTCATCTGGAGAACTGAAAAATTGAAGACTCTGGTTATGGTGAACTGTCCCACACCCTAACAACGGTACGGCTGGATGAAAATTGCTCTTGAGGAGTCAACCACTCATTTTGCTCACGAGGATTTCGACCATCTTTCGGACAGTTTGGGGTTCATACGTTGACACAGGAACTGATTTCATCTTTGCATTGGTCTTCATTGGGAGAAAGTGATTTTTCAAACGTACTGTTTTCTCAATTCAAGTGGTTGCAAATTCCACTTCGGCACCAAATCTTTTGGA